TGACTTACGCCTAGAGCGAGGGGGAGCGGGTTCGATCTTTGGCAGTGGTCTACTTTTCAAAATATTTATTATTTTTTCTTTTGTTTATTTTACATTTTATTATTTATTTAATGTGTTTTTCGATTTATTAAAGGATCCTATATATAAAAAAAAAATGATTTTTTTATTGGAGAAATTTCAAGTAAGGTTTAAAAACTGGAAAAATCCAGTAAAATTAGATTATTTATATTATATTATATATTTAAGCTCCTTTTACAATATTTTCACGATAGTTTAGCCGGCGAAATCTGTTCTATGTATAAAATAATGTATCTTTCTTCATGAAAGAACGCATAATGGAAAAAAAATAAATAAAATAAAAAGGCGGGACAAAGGTTCATATTTCAAGACCGCCAAATGCCCTTTAATATTAAGCTATAATTTTCAATTTCGGACCGGAAGTAGGCCTCGATGAGCCGAAACACTCCACCAAAGAAAATATTTATAGATAGATTTGGGGGGCCGCAGTGGCCCCTTAAGTCTTGTTTAGCTAACCGGGAGAGGGAACCTAAAGCTATGTAGTAGCTCGTTCCCCGGATAAACGTGGTCCAACGGCATAGACCACGCGTTAATGACTTACGCCTAGAGCGAGGGGGAGCGGGTTCGATCCCCGGCCGTGGTCTACTTTTCGAAATATTTATTATTTTTTCTTTTGTTTATTTTACATTTTATTATTTATTTAATGTGTTTTTCGATTTATTAAAGGATCCTATATATATAAAAAAAATTTTTTTTATTCGAAAAATTTCAGGTAAAGTTTAAAAACTGGAAAAATCCATGAAAATTGGATTATTTATATTATATTATATATTTAAACTCCTTTTACAATATTTTCACTATTGTTTAGCAGGCGAAATCTCTTCTATTTATAAAATAATGTGTCTTTCTTTATGAAAGAACGCATAATGAAAAAAAAAAAAAAATGGCGGGACAAAGGTTCAAATTTCAAGACCGCCAAACTCCCTTTAACATTAAGCTATAATTTTCACTTTCGGACCGGATGTAGGCCACTAGGAGCTGAGACAATCCACCAAAGAAAATATTTATAGATAGATTTGGGGGGCCGCAGTGGCCCCTTTAGTCTTGTTTAGCTAACCGGGAGAGGGAACTTAAAGCTATGAAGTAGCTCGTTTCCCGGAAAAGCGTGGTCCAACGGCAATGACCACGCGTTAGTGACTTATGTCTACAGCCAGGGAGAGCGGGTTCGATCCCCGGCAGTGGGCTATTTTTCAAAATATTTATTATTCTTTCTTTTGTTTATTTTACATTTTATAATTTATTTAATGTGTTTTTCGATTTATTAAAGGATCCTAATTTTTTTTTCATTCGAGAAATTTCAAGTAAAGTTTAAAAACTGGAAAAATCCATGAAAATTGGATTATTTATATTATATTATGTATTTAAACTCCTTTTACAATATTTTCACTATTGTTTAGCAGGCGAAATCTCTTCTATTTATAAAATAATGTGTCTTTCTTTATGAAAGAACGGATAATGGAAAAAAAAAATAAATAAAATTTCGGGACAAAGGTTCAAATTTCAAGACCGCCAAACTCCCTTTAATATTAAGCTATAATTTCCAATTTCGGACCGGAAGTAGGCCTCTATGAGCTGAAACACTCCACCAAAGAAAATATTTATAGATAGATTTGGGGGGCCGCAGTGGCCCCTTAAGTCTTGTTTAGCTAACCGGGAGAGGGAACTTAAAGCTAAGTAGTAGCTCGTTCACCGGATAAGCGTGGTCCAACGGCATAGACCACGCGTTAGTGACTTACGCCTAGAGCGAGGGGGAGCGGGTTCGATCCCGGGCAGTGGTCTATTTTTCAAAATATTTATTATTTTTTCTTTTGTTTATTGTACATTTTATTACTTATTTAATGTGTTTTTCGATTCATTAAAGAATACTATATATAAAAAAAATGATTTTTTTATTCGAGAAATTTCAAGTAATGCTTAACAGGAAAAATCCAGTAAAATTAGATTATTTATATCATATTATATATTTAAACTCCTTTTACAATATTTTCACGATAGTTTATCAGGCGAAATCTCTTCTATGTATAAAATAATGTGTCTTTCTTTATGAAAGAACGCATAATGGAAAAAAAAATAAAATAAAATGGCGAGACAAAGGTTCAAATTTCAAGACTGCCAAACTCCCTTTAATATTAAGCTATAATTTTCAATTTCGGACCGAAAGTAGGCCTCTATGAGCTGAAACACTCCACCAAAGAAAATATTTATAGATAGATTTGGGGGGGGCCGCAGTGGCCCCTTTAGTCTTGTTTAGCTGTCCGGGAGAGGGAAATTAAAGCTATGTAGTAGCTCGATTCCCGGATAAGCGTGGTCCAACGGCTGAGACCACGCGCTAGTTGCTTACGCCTAGAGCGAGGGGGCGCGGGTTCGATCCCCGGCAGTGGCCTATTTTTCAAAATATTTATTATTTTTTCTTTTGTTTATTTTACATTTTATTATTTATTTAATGTGTTTTTCGATTTATTAATGGATGAATGATGAATGAAAGGATGAATAAAAGGATGGCAACAAACGAAATATTTTGCAACAAGCGAAAATATCACAATTTTATTTAAGAACAAAGCTAGCCATGGAAATTTACGATTACGTATTTTTCTATCGGCTATTTTTTGCAGAGTTAAAAGTTAATAATTAGTGGTGTGATCAACCAGTTGTGATTTTTATCTTTTGAGCTCTTTTTAATAGTAAAAAATGCATTCATTTTTTTAGTAGTGGTACACTGCGTTTCGAAAAATTTAGAAAGGGTACACAAAAGTCATAAGTTTGGGAAACACTGCTCTAAGGTATCATGATAAAATAACGAAATTTTATCCCTTTTTCCAAATTTTATATAACAAATGTATTTTTTATTGTTATATTTGGAAAAATCAAACCAAAGCACTTCGGTAAAAGTCATCAAGATTTTTGGTGTTCCCATAGTTTCAGTAACACGATAAATTTTTCCATTTTCTAGCAGTTTTGACCATATTTTTTTTTCAAGTAATATTTATTTCAAAAAAGTATATTTTAGTAAATTTTTGAAAAACCAGGAATAAAACATTTAGAAATTCAAAGGCAGAAAAAGATTTTTATAACTATTTTTTAAAAAATACGCTTAGAAATCGAGAAAAATCGAATTTTTATATTATTATTCCTTAAAATAGGATTGTACAATGCTCAAAAATAAAAAAGGAAAAGAGAAAAACGGACCACCTTGAATAACTTTAGATCCAATGATCGGATCTTCACATTCTAGGTCTCAATCTTAATAATTCGAGAGAGTGACTTCAAATGGGTTAAATAATTACTGCAAACGATATTTTAAGTACCGAAATAAAACATAAAAGCTCACTTTTTCGCAATAAACATAACATTTTTATGATGGATCTCAGTCTCCCAAAATATAGGGGGTAGTCTCAATCTGGAAAGTAGGGTCCCCATTGTTTGGACAGAAAAGTGATCCAAAGTCAGAACCCCTTAATGTTATTTTTACATTTTGCGTATTTCACCATATCTTGATAACATTTTAAGGGAATTGAAAATTTTTTGCACACAATTATGAAATTAGTTTGTCCAAATATAATTTTGTGAAAAAACTAATTTTTAGTAAATATTTATTATTTTTTTATGATTTGTAAAACTGTGAATTGTTTGTTCTTTTCCCATTAATTAATTGACATTCCTTCATTAGTTAATTCTGATGACTCCTTTTTTGGCTAGAAGTTATCAAATATAAAAAATAATAATTAAGAACCATTTTTAATTTTTATTCTAATTATATTATATTATATTATNGACATAGTCTAGTGTTATGCGTACAAAAGCTTGCCTTTATTATTATATTATATTATATTATATTATATTATATTATATTATATTATGTTAGATTAAGTATAATTTAAAATGTTACAATTTTAAACTACATTTATAATGGTACGCATAGTGGCCCATCCTCCTAAAAAGGTCTGCCCTTGCCTATTCGTGCTTCTGTACTGTATTACACAAATCATATGTAAGTAATTTTAATAAATAAATTAGAGAGTCGGTGGCTCTGGGGATAGAGCATTCGCCTTTCAATTAGGTGATCCCGGTTCGAAGTGATGGCTGATCGCTACGAATTCCGCATCCGACTCTCACAGACCAGAGTTATGACATAAGATATCCTCACTGGTAGACGGATTATGGGTTAGAGTCCCCCTGCCGTTTGGCTAACCATGGGTTTCTCACCATGTAACGCAAATGCGGGTTAGTTCCATCAACAAGTCCTCCACGTAGGCAAATTTCTCCCAATACTTGATCCAGAAGTTCCCTTGTCTTCTGGATCAGGTTCAAAGTTACAAGGTTACGGAGTTGAGCATTAGTAGTCGCAAACCTATGAAGTTGGGTCAGCTGCTCAAATATGTTTATGTCTCGAATGGGACAGATCGTTAAGACACGGTTCCCAGCAGATCACTTAAGTCAAGCATCACTGGCTGCTATCAGTCTGCGTAGGGACCGAGTGTGTACGGTAGGTCCCCATTCAACTGTTCTAGCGTAAAGTGCTCGACTTCGCGTGCAGGTCGTCGAACTACAGAAGCTGGGGTGCCATGCCCTCTGCAGAGGATCAAAATTGTGATGGCATGTTTTCGGATCATCCTCAGGGGTGTTTCCCAGACAGTCGCCAATAGCTCATTATGCAGCTTTAGTGCGACGTAAATGAACTACAACTACAGCTTCAACGACGTTCATAAAATAAATAAATTATGAAGTCAGTATTTATCTTTAAATTAAGAAGAAGTCATTTTAAATGAGCATACAAAAAATAAAATAATTAAAACACACAATTTTTTTCTTATAAACTGTATTGATTGACACTAATTTATTTCAATAAAAAGCTTAATTTTATATATTTCAAAATACAAATTCTTTCATTTGTTTCTCTTTTTAAATATTAAAAAAGGCACATATTGAATATTGAAAATATTGTATTGATTTGAGCCAGCAGGTCGAGAGCAGCAAATTATTCAGCTATGAATTGAAGAGCATAAGCAAATATCCACGTAGCATGGATTATTTTATGGTCTTTAGTTGAAGAGGTCTTCTGTTGCTATAAATTGAGGAATTACATAAGCTTTTGTTTTGCGCATTCTGGACACAAAATTTCAGGTCCATCTGTAATGAAGCCTTTTCCAACCAAAGAAGAAGTGCACATAGCACATTTAAAGCAATCATTATGCCAAGTACGATCTTCAAACGATATGAACCTCGTACCTCCAATACCTGCAATAAAAATTTCATTTCAAGGTGATTCAACATAGGTACAAGGTATATCTTACCTTGTACAAGGTAAGGTATATCATAGGGATTGAGAATTATGAAACAATTCATTTCATTGTATTCCGATAGGGATGCCCTATCGGAGTACAATGAAATTTGATGATTAATGAACTGGCAGTTCGTGCGCATTTGAAATGGTATTTAAATTTACCTAAAATTTCTTAATGTGATGATGATTCTGTGTTTTCTTGTAATTGCGGTCAAACATGACATGCAAATCGGTTATTTGACGTAATTTAACGATTTGGCTGCTAACTTATTAAACTTACCAAGTTAGACATAAAATTTTTAAAAAGCGTAGAATAGTGATTTAGCTATTTCTGTGCTTATTTGGATGCCATATTTAACAATAATTACTAGAAAACATAAAATTGCTAAATATAATATATTACAAAATAATTATATTACAAAATATATATATAATCATATTACAAACTTATATTAGGTGGTCAAGTATACAATTTATTAGCAGGGGAGTTTTGATTGTTTTGCAGCTACGGACTCCTATGTCTAAAAATGAGTAACTCGCCTTATTTAGTTAAAATTTTGATTTAGTTTTGGGATAATAAAATGGATTTTATTGACGGTTTTCGGATTTTCAATGTAAAGGAAAAATATATTTAACTTTCGTGCAGTCACGTAGTTTTATGCCTGAAGATAAATTTTTTGACTTCATTTAAAATTGCGAGTTAGTATCGAAGTTATTAAAGTTGAAATGTTTGATGTTTTTTCATACAATCCCGAAAAGCTTTAAAAAAGTGCTTTTGCCACCAAATTTTCGGCAGAACCAAATGCTTTCAGTTTATTTTTCTCGAAAAAAAAACTTTTTTTGGACTGTTTTAATTAGCGGAGCTCGATGTTATTAATTATATAAAATTAGATCGGATATTTCTTATTTGTTTCTGCTAAGATCACGCGTTTCCTTTCCCTTTCTCTCCAAAGTGACGTCACTTGTGTGCGACGTCACACTATCCTTTTTCTTCCTTTTTTTTACTCATTTGTAAGGAATTGTGTTTTCAATTAAAGCCTTTCAGATTTTGATTTTCAAATATACTTACAATATTTAGATTTAATTTCAGGCTGCAATTCATAATTTAAACGTATTTGCTACCAGGTAAAAATTAAAAAAGAGTTAATTTAACTAATAAAGTTTTTTGATATGAGTTATTATTTTGGCTTTTCAATTTGAATTTTTATTTTTATTTTGAACTTACGTAGATTTAAGTTTTAATTTCTTGTAGGTTGCATTTAATACTTTTAACTTATTAATTACTTAAAAAAATTAAAATTAAAGAAAAATTTAAAAAAAATTAAAACAATGCTCTTTTGATGTGAATTTCCCTTTTTGGTTTTCTAAACATAATTATGTTTTCATTCTGACATTTTTAATGTGTAATTTTATTTTTAGAAGTAATTTTGAATGAGAGGAGTTTTGAATGAGAGAGAGTTAATTTTTCATTTATATTACTTTAATTTTGAAGCAGATGAGGGGGAATTTTAAATAAGTGAGTAAAGCGATCTAAATAAATAAATAAATAAATAAAATAAAAAACTATGCAAGCAATTTTGAGATACGGTAAGCGTCAGAAAACTGGGGGAGGGGCTTGAATGCAACTTAATTTACATAAGAATACATAAGTTTTTGAAATTTTTCATCTCAAAATTTAAGAATTATTTTTCGCTGCGCAATTTAGTTTGGTGGAATCTATAAGTAGTAGAATAATAATTTTTTGTAGCAATAACGCACGCATACGTCTAAAGATGATCAATGCATTTTAGTTATTTTAAATTTCCAATTAGTTTCAGAGCAATTAAATTGCAAAATCCCGTGTTTTTATTTATGAATATCAATCCACTCCAATATCTTGAGTTTTTTTTGTTGTTTTTCTATTTATTAATCGGTAATTCATCCTGGATTGCGAATCAATCTGAAAAGAACTGCACAAGCAGTTTCGGGGATTGTTGAGCGATAGCAAGCAGTTAGCTTATTCTCTAATGCAGGGGTGTCAAACTCAAAAGCTAACTTGGGCCAAATAAACAATGATTTACTTTACGTGGGCCGCAAAAGAAAAAAAATTCAATGTTCATAGAAACAAATATTTTTATTTTGAATAGTACATTGTAATAAACATATATAAAGTTAAATTATTCTTTGATACTTGACATCTCTTCTCTGCTTCTATCTGTCCAATTTCGGGAGAAATTTTATTGACCGAGACTACTTTCAAAATTGACCCAACGTGAGCGTTATTAATACAGTTTCGGACAGGAGATTTATTTCCATTCATAATAGAAAATAATTGCTCTCACTGATAAGTACTTCCAAACATGGAAATAATTTCATGCGCGAATTTTCGAGTATTTTCAAACCTTGCCGGTAAATATTTGTAAAATTCAGTTACACCCACTTCTTTTGCCTTCAAATTTGAGTCGTACTGAATCTCAATCACTTCCATTTGCATATTACTGGGTACTGAGTCTATATTTATTGAGAAAATCGAAGAAAACAAATAAAATTTGTCTTCCAAAGAATTAAAATCTTTAAACCTTGTTTCAAATTCGTATCTAAGATTTGAAATTTTTTCTGCGTATTTTTGATACAATACAGTATCCCTGGAATGGCAGGTGCCGCAAGCCAATTAGAATTTTTCGCGATGCCAAGAATTTTTAGAATTTTTCGCAAGCCAATTAGAATGATCCGTATAGTTTATAAATAAAGTATATTCTAATTTTACATGCTAGTTTTCTTTCTAAATCTCATCTCTATTTTATTTTTACTTTGCGTCAGATATATTGACTTGGCCGCAAAAATGTTCATCTCGGGCCGCATGCAGCCCGCGGGCCGTGAGTTTGACGCCCCTGCTCTAATATAATCACTATAAAATTTAGAATACATGAAAGTATAAATTGCAAGGCACTAAACAAGACGAAGGCGCAAAGAGGGAGTGATGCGAAACTGTCTGAATTGAAATGCGCAAGAATTTACGGTTTTGGCGAGAGAAACCAAGTAGGGCGCAGAGCACCCTGGTTTATAAAAGATTTAAGATTCTATTATTTAAATTCATATGTTATTCAAAAAGTAAATTATATTAAATTGAACCATCTGATTTTTTCAGGTGGAAGAGCAGTCAAGTTAACAAACAAAATTTCCAACAAAAACAAAATTTCTAATAATTTGTTTGGCGCTGATTTTAAATAATGGCAATATAATTAATAATAGAATTAATAAAAATCATGGAATTAATAGTAATGAGAGAAATAATAAAGATAGAAATAAAAAGATAATCGATTTACTTCTAAATATAAAAAATTAACCCTCTAATTTGGATTTTCTTTAAATTTTTCCTAAAAATAGCTAAAAAAAAGTACATATTTAAAATTCTAAAATTTTGTTTGAAAGCACGTATTTAAATTTTTCGAAACATTTTGCGTTTTTATTCAATATCAAGAAGGTTTACTATGCGCTAGAATAATGTTTTAGTAAATTTTAAGGTGATAAATTAGATGTTCCAACGTTACTCCACCCAAGATGGTGACTTTATGAAACATTTGAAAAAACAAAAAACAAATATTGGAATTTTAATTTTTCATTTGTGAATTATAAATAACAAAGATCGAATTTTTGAAAGTTGTAATTTTTTTTATATTTGTAATTTCTTAGGGTTCATTGAGCAGTTTTAATTTTTAAAATCGATTCATACACTAGAAAGGAAAAATAGGCCCCTTTTTGAGTCTTAACTAATTAGTATAAACAATTTAAGAATAAATATTATTAACACTAGAAAGACGGAAAATTGGTATATACCTATATTGCCCAAAAGCAGTCAAAATGACTGGGTTGTAAGGGAATAAATAATGTGTAAAGGAATTTATTTAAAATTAGTTTTGTCATATTTTTTATATTATTTACAGTTATATAACAAGTTATTAGTAAATATTAACAATAAAAAAATTATATGTTGTACAAAATTCTAAAAACTTGTGTCATTATATACATCATTGTTTTTCCAATTGAAATTAAAAGCAGTCGAAATGACTTCCTTAGGAAATCTAGTGTTAATGGTGTTCCTACTAATGCATTAATTTGTATACTTCAAAGTTTTTAAAATAAAAAAGAAAGAAGGAAAGGAAAGAAAATTGTTATTCAGCATTGTGTTTTTTTAAATATCTTTATTTACGTTGGAATGTACCTTTGGTTGACTCCATTAAGCAATTTAAATAATTAAATAAAACTTAGTTCTTGAGCTACGGATGATTGAAAAGTCCTTTCCTTTACTTTAAAAAATTGTCCTTGTACATTGTATTTACTTTATCTACTTAATTTATGCTGTCTCTTTCCTTTTTTTTGTGTTTTAAAGTTATAACACTAGAAAGTTCAAACATTAAAAGTAACAATTGAGCAGCTGATGTACTTCGAAGATAGTTGCTCCAGAAGATAGTTGCTGAGAAAAAAAAACTTTTTTTTAAGAGGACACAATACCGAAGGAGAAGCTTTTAATGGGAAATTGTGTTTCACCTCCAGTGATAATTTTAAGTTCAGAGAAAAGTGAGCTTAGAGTTCGAGAAAGTTTAGAGAAATGTTCTCAAGAATTATGGCAGCATTGCTTCCTTACTGCGTAATCTTAAATAATCCCGAAATAATTTGCTCGCATTTTAATACTTTGAAATTTTTTTTCAGTATTTGAGACATCATCATAGTGTTTTCTAAGTTTACCTTAACTCATTTTTTCTATGCTTTAAATTTCAAAATACTCATGTTGGGGAAGGCAAATTTGACATTTCTCCCACGTCCTCTTAAGATATTGAACTGTGAAATCTCCAAGAAAGACCATCTCTATGCAGCGACCATTTTTGAGAGGCACGGAATTTTTTCCATAGATTTTGTGTTGAGGAAAAGCTTTAAGAGAAACCATTAAAACCTCTCCCTGCGACCAGGCAAACATCTGCACCAAATGCGGGAAAGGTCAAGTAAGGTAACACGAAAAAATATCAAATCAAAAATTGAAACAAATAAGTAGATTAAAATATTTTCAAAAGATTTGCGTGGAGGCTAAGAACCTCCACACAAATTTAGAGAGCTCTTTTTGACTATGCAACCTCATGTTGTAGTCAGAGTGCTCTAAAGACGATGCTATCAATGATTTACTTTCAGAGTTGAAAGTTAAATTAGAAAAAAGAGTTTTTTTTTTAAAAAAAAACAAGCATCTCAGACAAACAAACCTCTTCTCACATTTTAATGCTGACGAATTTTTATGATATAAAATTAAATGGAAACTTAAACAAAAAGCATAATTGTTTAGTTATTTAAAATAACTTTATCATTCATGATTGGTGAATTAGATTTTACCCATAATTTTATCAGCTAGGATAACTTTTATAGACGCTAAATTTTATTCATAGATTAATCTTTTCATGAAGCTAACAAGAGTAGCATATCCGTGCCAAGAAAATTACACTGACTAAATTTAAAAACTTTTGCGAGAAAATTTTGTAATAAAAATTTTGAAATAAAAATTTTGAAGTTAATACAGGTAACCTCTAAGAGCAAACCAACCTCCATCAATGACCATTTTACTGTGGAACGGAGAGTGGTCGCTCCTGAGAGGTTTTACTGTACTATTGATTTGAACAGTCTGCTTTTAATTAAGGTGCATATTAATTGATGGTTTAATGATAGTAAATCCAGGATTCTACGTCACGGGGTACGAATCATGTATTTTTTTCAATTGACGCTTTAAACGATGAGGAGTCGAAAAGCAGTAAGAATTCGGAACAATGCCACTGAAATGTAAGAAAATCATTTGCTCATTTATTGTCTGCTTTAAGAGATTTTCCTTATTTCAGCTTAGTGTCTGCAGGCTTATTTAAGTCAGAAAGTGGCCAAAATTTTGATGAGCGACAAATTTTGGTTGCATTAGTTTAGAAATAATTGAAATTTGCATTGATATTAAAAAAAAAACATAATTTGAAATTTAAGTGCTCTAGCTAGACGGAAAGTGGTCGAAGTTTTGATTGACTACTTGGCGATAAGTTGACCACATAAATTTTGACTGTAGCAGCAAGGGAACGATTGAATCTTCCATTGTCTACTATCACAGAGTTTTGGTCAGTTAAGAATATTTTAACTAGTTGGATAGAGATGGAAATTTGGTCAAACAATATATTTTTTGAAAGATAAATTCTGCTTGTAGTAATCAGGAAATGTTTGAAACTTTTATTGTCTTCCTATTCAGCAGAGAGCTACAATTAAAATTGGAATATTCTAGGTAGCCGGAATATAGTCAAACTCTTACTTCACGATAAATTCATTTAGGTGATAATATATCGATTAATTCTCTTTGTAAGGGTCCAATAAAGACTGAAACTTGCATCGTCATCAGACACGAAGCTCCAATAGAGATTTAAGTGCTATAGCTAATCAGAAAAAGGTTAAAATTTTGATTGCAAGATTCCATTCTTACTGACGCAAAAGTCAGTTAACACTAGATTGCCTAAGGAAGTCATTTTGACTGCTTTTAATTTCAATTTGAAAAACAATGATGTATGTACAACATATAATTTTTTATTGTTAATATTTACTAATAACTTGTTATATAACTGTAAATAATATAAAAAATATAAAAAACTAATTTTAAATAAATTTCTTTACACATTATTTATTCTTTTACAATCCAATCATTTTGACTGCTTTTGGGCAATATAGGTATATACCAATTTTCCGTCTTTCTAGTGTTAAGAAAATAAAATAAAATTATTGATGAAATGAAGATTCCGTCTTGCAGCGCTAAGGATAAGAGCTGCGAAAGTCGAAAAAAATAGAAATGGTGAAGAAAAATCATGATTGTAAATTAGTTGAGCGACACAAAAGACTTACCCTTCCATATAAATCATTGTCAGAAAATGACTGCTAGAGAGAAAACTATCTTACCTCAAAAATTAGGATTGTTCCAAATGACCAGGGTTTGAAAATAATACATTGCTTATATTTATCATAAAATATTTAGAACTATTTAAAATATATTAAAATTAGTTCAGATCTTTATAAGTTATGAATAAAGAAGGTGTTGAGTAACTACCTCCTTCCATTTTCAAATCCTTGCGAAGATAGCAGTCAAAAAGCATATGCACATAAGAGGTCGCAAACTAAAATTTAAGCGAGAGAAAAATGTGGAAGGAGAGGACATCAAATTATGATTGATTCCTTTAGAAAATGGAAAAGAGGGGTAAAATCACCTTTAACACTAGATTGCAATATAAGTATATACCAATTTTCCGTCTTTCTAGTGTTAAGTTTCATGAAGCAATCAAACTATTTTTGGTGTTTTTTAATTCCTCTTTCCTCAATTCATATCTCGTTGATGATTTGGATTTTTTTTCTTCTTAAATATTGATTTTCTTAAATATTTCCTTAATATGCAACCTCGAATCTGCATATTTTTTTAAACTTTATTTCTGTTAAGGATTCTAAAATATATTTAAAGAAATATAATTATGAAACACTTTGCAATTATAAAAATACGAATGCTATTAGAAAACACACATAGAATAGTTAAATTATCACATTATTTTCATTCAAATTATACTTAATAATTACTAAATTCTTTTTTGGAGGTACCACGTGAGTATAATATGGTTTATATATGCAATAAGAACAATATTATACTTTAAGTAGATTTAGAATAAATATTTATTAAGAAATTATCTTTTCTGTTCAACTATAAAATATAAGTCAAAAATAAGAATGGTGTTAGAAAAAAATCCGTAAAATAGTTAAATTAACATCTTACTTTCATTTAAATTATACTGAATAAATACTTTTTTGAGGCACCACGTGAATATAATATGGTTTAAATATATCAAAAGAACAGTATTATGCTTTAATTTGATTTTTAAAACAATAATTCATTGAGAAAGGATTTTTCTTATTTAACTCTAAAATATAAGCCAGAATTTACCAGTGATAGGTTTAGAACATGCTACACATCGTTTTGCAAAGAGTTCTCCAAAACAATCTGCGCAATATGGTTTATCTTCTCTGGATGTAAAACGTTGACCAGCAAGGCAAGTGTTGCAGTTTGAGCAGCAGAAGCATTCTCTGTGCCATGGTTCATTACGGTACGTTACTCCACCACTTGTAATGATCTTAAAAAATCATTCAAAAAGAGGAATTAATATGGTGCATAAATAATCCCATAATTTTATGTATTTTTTCCAAATATCATTACGTCACGTTACTCTAACACTTGTAATGATCTTAAACTATTATTCAAAATGAGGAATTAATATGGTGCATAAATAATCATATCATTTTATGTTCATATAATTTTTTTCAAAAAAAAGATACCTTTCAAGAAAAATACAGTTGAAAATCGTTAAAAGTGACATTTTGATTTCTTGTAAATAAATGTAAGTAAATTTAAAAAAAATTAATATTTCTACAATAGTATGAAAATTTCAATTTCCTATTACATAAAAAATATTTGCAATGCAAAAAAAAAAAAATATTCACTCTATATTTGAAATTATATCAAAATCTTCCATAAGATACAGCTATTCAAGTTCATTTAATAGAGAAATAGTTATAATTTGCCTGTCAGTGTAATTATTAAATTTTTGGCGAAGGTATTAAACTCATACTAAAGTAACAAGAGAGAATTTTTTTTCCCACTCTGCTCAGGTTAACTGCACTGTAAAAATTGTGGTATAGTACCTATCCGAATTTACTGTTGCAAAATTCTAAAAAAATGCGTGAATGATTACTTTATTTACCGAATTGACTGTTTATACACACTTTATTTTAAAGGATGAAGTTATATATTAGCACCAATAATTGAGAAAGCTCTCACCAAGATCAGATGTTTTTAAACTAATCATAGTTGGTTACAGGTCAGAGACTGTTTTGTTGTCGTCTTTTAGTGTTCCATAAATTATACAAAATAGAGGTAAATTATGACTTTATTTGTGTAAGAAGTGATATTAGCGATGACAAAGGACTCCAGCTACACATAATGAAAGACTTTACTTAATTATTAACATTCTATTGTAGTATGAAATAGGCTATGATCAGTTTGCCAACTCATTACGACAAGAAAATTGAAATTTCGTGGCAAGTAATCGATCATGATCTCCTGTAGGCACTGTGTTCGACAGCTAAGCCTAGTTAGGATTTGATGTCCGTCATCGAAAATTAAAAGAGTTCATATTTTACTGTAATTATAAGTGTTAGTGTAACAAAAATGCTGGTGGCAACCAAGTAGTTTAAAACAACATTCTTGGTACTGTGACTCTTGGTGTAGTGGAACACTTCCATCACTTTTGTGTATAGAATAAAACTAGTTTGTCCTTACTGTGATTTTTCAAAAAACAAACGAAAAGGCTTTTTCTTAATAGTGGTTAAATTACTTTTTAAGTTACTTTATTAAAAAATATAATAAAAGAGTAATCCAAATATTTTTCGAACTTTGAATGTTCAATTTTGTGATTTTTTTCTAAAATCACGAAAAATCGCTTTATCACGTCACCGATACATATCTATTTTTATACACTTTTTTCACAATTTTTTTTTGTATTTTCAGAATACCATAAAAAGGTACTATATTTTGAAAAACTAAAATGACGGCAAAATTTTTTTTTGTTTAAGAAATTAGTTTTTTCTTTGCTATTTTAATTTATATTTACTATCAATTGTACTATTATAATCATAAAATACCATTGATTGTATTATTATTTCTTATTTGTTCTACAAATTTATAAGACACTAGAAGTACAAAACAAAGCGAAACAGTAACATCAAACTCATTATAATTTTTTCTAGAAAAAAGCAACAACTTGGTGAATGGAGATATTTCAAGTATTTTAAAGAGCATTAAAGTGATTAATTTGTTATAAGTAGATAAGCGGAAAAAGGTTTATCAAAGGTTATTCGCTCAATCAAAGAATCATAAAAAAGATTCTACGACATACGTTAAAATTTTTTCATCTAAAAGGGAATGTTCTGATTTATCTAGATTTCTTAATAGTACGAAGATTTTTATAATCTGTTCTCTTTGGAAGGCAAATTTGCTTCCATAATTATGAATAAAATTTTATAAATTATTTGCAGTAGTCTTAGACCTATTATTTTAAAAAATAGCACGATATTTCATTCCTTAAAAACTTCAATCTCTCCCACTTTCAAAAATCCAATTTTTTTAATCTTTACATTGTCGTAAAAGCAAAAGTTAGAAATTTAGTTAAATGAAACTCGTTATAATACCGTTGAAATATTATTCATTCAAATGTGAAGTTTCAAGTTAATCAATTAAAGCTCTCTCCACTTAAAATCCTTCAAGTTCTTACTTCTTCAAATTGCGTTGTATTTTTCTTTTCAATAAAATATTGTACAAAAATGTTTTTGTATAAATATTCTTCTACCAAACAGTTTTACATGCATAATAGTAAATGTAACAATAATGCTTTGATGTAAATATTTCAAACTAACAGAATTTCATTTTTTTTATCTCTTCAAATATTTTTTTAAAAAAAGGAAGAAAATAAAAGAAAATTTTCGACGAAAAAAAAAACANAAAACTAAAAAAAAAAAAAAAAAAAAAAAACAGGTTGTATTTGGTTTAAGGTAGGCATTTTTTCAAAACAGCAGGTAGGATGAATTATATTTAAATATATATAAATATATTAAGAATAAATATACTATTAAGATAAATTAAAAATAACTGAATAAAGAAAAATAATTTTGTAGAAACTTTTAATAACTGACATTTAATAATTTAATTAAAAATTAAAAAAAAAATTTTTTTTTTCAATAATAATACTAAAATTTTTAAACAGATAATTATTGAACTGATCAAATTAAAGATTTTAAATTCATTACATTACGATTCTGCTTTACATAAAAATAAAAGTTCAGTAGGTAAATGTTGTGTTAATAAGATTGCATCGTTTGATAATTATTGAATCTAATTATGCTTTAAGAATAAGATAAACAAATTTTACAACAGTGTGAAATTTTCTTTAGTTTTTACATATTTGGTGATAAAATATGTAAAATCTAGAATTATCATTAAGGGGTTTAACTTTTAAACTGCCCGTCTGATTAAAGATTTGGAATTATACTGATTCAGATTGCTAATAACTCATATATTTTTAGTGTCTATAATCCTAATCCTTCGAAAAACAGGGATGTTTATTTATCCTCTGATGCAAGTTAAGAAAAAATCATTCCTGTTTACATCTACGAGCACACTAAATGGGGCCAAGCTCCCAGTGCGAACGTATATCAATATCGCCAAATTTTGAAACGACGTTGCACAGCCTTCTCTTTGCTTGATTTCTTCAATCATGTGAAATGAGAAAAACAAAACTTATTGAATAAAAACTTTGTTTTTGTTTCCAGTAAAAATAGAGAGTTGCATCATATTTGAATATTACTTTCTCTTCGTGATTAAATAAGCTGATGAAAGAATAATAAATATTGTTTCTTGCAGACGAATTTTCTTCTACAGAGAAACAAAAGTAAAAATTCCTTATCTCGAATTTGATTTGTTATCGACATGTCAGTGGTTCAATTAAATTCAATGGTTTTGTAACGTATTAAGATTGTTTAATTTTTCAAGAACGAATGCTCTCTTTCTTTATCAAGTCTGGGATTCCAGTAAGACTATGAAACTATAACCCTTTTTTAATAATTCTATTATATATATCGTAGAACTAAATTTCTGTCCGACGAGTTAAACTTTTAAAAGTTTTTATATTGTTTTGAAAGTATACTTGTATAATTTGATAGCGAAATAAAACGGAACTATATGCAACAAAAATCCTATAATCCAATGACTTTTTCTTAACTTGCAACGGAATATAGAATAAATATGTTGTTCTGGTTATGCAATTTCGCTAACTTCAAATTTCATCAGCACAAATTAATCGGTACATTTCAGGTTAAAGCATGAAACCATTTGGCTGCCTTTACATGAATATCCGATCACTAGATCAAGAGTTATTAATGTTTTCTTTTTTTGTGCACGGTAGAGATGTTATTTTTTGAAAGATACTTCAAAACACACCTAAGATAATCTATGTCATAAATTAATTTGTTGGCATTACTAGAATTTTTTAAAAGGCCTTTAAATTTTCTTTCAGTGATTAACTATATTAAAATTGAATAGATAATAAATAAGAAAGGATTATTACCTGGTTGCATTTAATACACCTAGTAGCAAATTTTTCTTCATAACAAACGGTGCAGTAGATATCATTATCACGGGGGATAAAACTTTTTGTTCCTATTGGGTTTTTACATACACAACAACAGAAACATTGATCATGCCACTGATGACCTTTATATTCCATCTTTTTTGTACCTAGAGATACAAGAAGATTAGTTTTCAACACAAAGTTTCTCTTAAGAGGATGTTTTCTTTCACCTGTATGAGTCATTTAAAATATAGAAGAAGTCAGTTCAGGTAAATTAAGAATAAACCTTGCTTCAATTGTGAAAAAATGTTTTCAAAATGCAATCAAATTACAGCAGGATAACTCAAAATTGGGTACTTCAAGAAAAAGAAGACCACCCATACCGACACATGTGAAGTATGATGTCATCGCCAGCTAATCTTTATCAGCAAAATGGCGTATTAAAGTTGAGCTAAGTTTCCCTACATAAACATAATTATTTTAATTAATGATAAGTTAATTAAGTACACAGCCGTATCGCACATTGAATTAGAGGAAATATAATTCTTTTTAGTCTACTTTTTTTACTTAAAGTTTGTTTATGTTCTACATGGCACTTAAATTATAGTCTTCACTAACATATTTGTGATCACCCCTTCAAACCATCAGTGATCACTGAGCATATTTGTGATCACCCCTTCAAACCATTAAGACTGAGTCTTAGTACAGAAAAACCAATAATTAGATCAAAAGTTATTCAGGTTGGTTTTTTTTCCCGCACTGCGCTTAATAAGAAAACGGGGTCACGATAAGTTCGTTGTTTTAAGATATTTCGATCAGTATCTGGCAAGGAAAGAAAAAAACCGCTATTTTGAACGATGAAAATCCGAGAACAAAACTTTTGTACTTGGTTACAAGAAAAACTGCGTATTGAAAATTCATTTTCACAGCTGAAGTGTGTCTTCTAAAGTCTCGTAAAAATACAATTTCAAGGAAGCGGACAAAATTTCAACCATATATTGTTTATATCTAAAGCTTGCTGCTCAAAATATGAGTCAACAATTCAATTTATCTGTGCGATACTTCTAATTGGAAAATAATTCACATTTGCGATTGCAAGTAAATGATATTGCGCATGCACGAGTAGTTCATTGTACAGTGCTCCAAAGAAAAAAAATGAATTATCCAGAATAACTCTTGATCTAATGATCAGATCTTCACGTTTTAGGACTCATTTTTAATGGTTCAAGGGGGTAATTAATTAGTGCAGACGCTGTTTTATATCTGACTGATAATTTTTTCTGATTTTTAAATATCTGACTGATTTTTTAATATCTGCGTTTTTTGAAACTTAATTTCTCAGGTAATTAAAATTGGAAAAAGTCAGACATCTAAAATTCAATTTCTCAGAAACTATTCGACAGATAAAATTATATTCTTTAAAATGAGGCAAAAAGTTGTACGTCTAATAATTCAAATTTTTTTTGACCATTATTAAATAAAATTATAAAAAATATAAAAATATTTAATAAAGGTTATTTTTTACTTGGAATTATCTTTGGGCAAATTTTATAATTGTGTGTAAAAAATTTCAACTCGCTTAAAAAGTACTCGAGCTATAACGAAATACGCAAAAAGTAAAATTAACATTAATGGGGCCAAATTTTGGAGAGCTCTCTTGACCAAACTATTGCGACCATATTTCCCAGATTGCAGCTACAACCTATATTTTGGGGATCAGAAATTTGAATCGGTCGAAAAAAAAGTATGTTTACTCAGAGAAAGTACGTTTTTGCATATGCAACTAGAATCTATTAGAGGGTACCTTTTCATAGATGAAAGTTGATATTGTCGTTAACTATCATCTCCACATTGGTGACCCGGGAGTGTGTAATAAATAAAAATGTATGGCATTTTTTTTTATAAATACTTTTAAAGATGGGATTACTTTTCTAGCGGAAATAGTTCGCTTATTTCCTCAATAGATGGTTGCACTGGTTAGTTCTGGTGTATAACTTTATTTGCCGCCAGGTGGCACCACTTTTATAAGTTTTAAATTGCATGACAATAGTGATAGTTATCTTAAATTTTAATTGTCTTTTTAAAGGAAATTTTTGGCTGAATTATGAGTATTTGAGTTCATTTATATATTTATTTAGTATTGTTTTATCACTTTTAAAAATTATTATTTAATTCGTGACAGGTTTTATCGTTGGAGTATTTTTTTGTGATGTTCACTGGTGTTGCGCTCACTGGTCTACATTGAACAGTTTACTTGCTACATGTGACTGCGACACTATCCACCACCTCGTCCTGTTGCTATTCAGTCTCGATCACACACAACGTATTCACTCGACTACTAAAGGCAACACAGGAACGACCGTGAACTTAATACAGCTCCCCCGATCAGCACTCAAGAGTACGGTGATCTTAATACAGCTCTCCCGGCTGCTCACAAAACTGCAATGGATCAACTAGTGGTATTCATTCATCGAATTCTATCACAGCTATAATTCTGGTGGGGGAGTACTGTAGTGTGTCTACAATTACAATTACAATTCACTAGTATGTAAGACACTTGATTTTATGAGGGGGTACCTTCTCATAGATGAAGGTTGACATTGTCGTTAACTATCAGACTGCTTAATTCAACCAGTACTTTTCGCGACTTTATTGAACTTATCAGTTGAATTGTAAAAAGCACAAGTGTTTGTATTACCTGCTTTGAAGACTTCTCCACAGCCATCACATCGAGTGGCGAATGATGCATCGTAACAATTGGCACAATAAACTTTTTCAGCTTTGGAACCAAAGGGTTTATCGACTAGTGAGACACGACATTTGTTGCAAAGGAAACATTTCTCATGCCAATGTTTTTCCTTGTAAGATAAATCCTGAAATAAGAAATATTTTAATGCTTTCACGTAGCCGGCCATATTTAACAGTACTCAGGTAATATTCTGATGCAATCTGAAACCTTATAAAGAATTATAAAGTTACTGAAAGTAATACTCTCAATAATATCTCAAGATAAGTTTATATGCAGCTCTGCAGAACATATTTTGTAAACGTATTTCGGCCAGCAAGTTATTTTTCACGATAATACAATGGTATTTATGGGTGATTCTTTGGAAACATGACAATTCGGAAAAAAAAAATTTCTTAAAATTTGAAGCCTTAAACACGATCTAAATTTTCTTTTGTACATTTATTAAGTTACATTTATCAATATCTTACAGACAGCAGTGTAGTTCATTGAAATTTGCTCACGAAAAAAAATTAAATAGAAATTAACCTTATTTTAAATGCCAGGAAAATGACATATTAGCTTAGATGTTAAGAAAACAGTCATTTTAAGCTAATAGTAAGTAACTCAACTTAAGAAACTCAAAAGGACAAAGTTGAAAAGTTAATTTTAACTTTTTATGCAAATAAATTCTAAAAATAATTATTGTGAACAATTTGAACATAACGTTTCTTCTCGACTTCTCGTTTTTTTTCTCAGTTTATTTTTCTTTGATTGTTTTTAGGCCCCATGTTTTAAAATAACGTAGTAAAATTAATTTTAAAATAATTTACATAGGAATTTTTTTATTACATTATTGAAATTTAAAATATTTCAAATCATTTTATTTTACAACTTCATTACATTCTTTAATTTATACACCCATATACAGTTTAAAGATTATGACGGAATTAAATTGTACAGTGATGTTCTTAGCTTATCCTTTATATTTTAATTACCTGTGTTTTGAGAAAAAAAATAACCTAAAGCCTGTTCTTTAGATGGACCATCAATTGTTTAAATTAATTCTTTTATCCACTGTAAAAAGAATCAAAAATGATTTTGTTGTTGATATATACAGAATAAAATTGTGTATAAAAATCAATCATTACATAAATAAATAACTTTGATTACATACAAGCATATTGCAATCTTACATAAACTGGGTATTAGGTTAATATTTGCTTTCCCTCGTAACATTATACTGTTTAAAAAATTTTCTGGCAACTGGCATTCATAAGTCAGAAAAATGACAGATATTGACAATTTGCCATTTTACAGCATTTAACTTTAATTTAATATTTCGGCCTAAGACGTTTATTTTCCGCAGAAAACAACAGGATTTCTTGAAATAACTCAGGTAAATCTATGTAGTTTATGCTATTAATGATTTAAAGAAGACAGGAAAAGGACAACATAAAAACCTACTCGCCTTGTAAAATTTTTTGAAATAGATTTTGAACCAGAGAGTTGATTCTTTATTCCTGAAATAAGACATGTTCTTGTAGGAAGGTACTCTAATCAATCTCTTAACGTAAGATATTGATTGTTGGCCCTATCTATTTTGGTTATAAATTACTAAAAAAAGTGGTTAGGAAAATGACTGATTTTCATGTGACAAACAAATTATAGACATATTTTTGGAAAATTTTACCCTCTGCATGTATTCTAGTAATGCTTACAATGGTTGAGATAAAAAATTAGATAGTGAAAAATTTATGGTAAGTTTTGAAGCTAATTATTATTGGAAATATTTTTTGTGACATGCCATTAAAATGACATTTTGAAATTCAATTAAATTTTTTAAATACATAAAACAGTCAATGTTAATGCAAAGTCATTTTAAAATGCTAACAGCAATGCTATTTACTAATTTTTTTTCAAAAATGTTCGTTTAGTAGTATAGTATTAGATCTTGGAGCAAAAGGTTGTCAATTGTCGTATTTCGTGAGAATCACCCTTATAACATATTTTAAGCAATCTCAAATAGAGTAAAATAGAAAATCTATTGTTAAGCATGATAAAACATTTATAAATGCTATCAAAAGTTGATATTAAAATTAGTTTTTCCAAGTCTAATTTTACAATTACAGAACTGCAGATTTTAAATCAGTAAACGTATCTCACATTATAAGGAATTTTCTTATCAGAATTTTTTCCTGGTATATCAAACGTTTTGCGATTTTCACAATTTTTGTAAGAGAAAACTTATTGCTCTGTTTCTTTTCCTATATTATCTAAACAATTAAATATAAAATTTACTAAAAACGCCTTAATAATAAAAAATGTTAATGTAAGTTAAGTTTTTTTTAAGTATGTTAATTTTATCATTGCCTTTTAACAAGCAATACACGAAATTTCTATATTTCACGGAAACAACTCGGAAGCTTTTCGGTATTTTTGGGTCTTCCATTTTTCAACCATATGGTGTATCTAATTTTCACTGTAAGATAAAAATAAACCAGGCAGACAACACGATTTGTTTTGTCTAGAAAGGTTTGGATTTCCAACTGAGAATAGATTAAGAGGAAGAACTATATTTTAACTGTTTCATTTCAAACTGTCCGTGCTTAAATTTTTCCTTATGAGAATTGTTAACTTGAATATTTTATTCAATCTTAGATACTTCCCTGCCCTGAAATTTACCCGGGAAATAAAAAAGCCTCTTTTTTTCCTGGACAGAGACTAACACGATCTAAGAACAGTTATTGCATCAAAACAAGCCAGTTTCTTACCCAAACTAAAGTAAATAGCATATCTATCTATCTAAGAAAAAGATATAAAATGTTTTTAAAGGAGACGAAAAAAATTACTAAAAATTGTTTTTAAAAAATATTTACAAATTTTAAAAAAAATTTACAATTCAGAAAATAAAAGTGGAAAATAAAAAAAAATAAGAAAACGATGTAATCTTGTCATCACCTCACAATTATATCTGAAAAAATAGTGCTTTCTAATATTGTACTTATGTAGCCAAAGCAAAACATATTCATACAATAGTGTGAGGAGCACCAAAAAATTGAAACGAAACTTGTTAAACAAAAAATGCAAAATAACAAAATTATAAATAAAAAATCTAAAATAAAAAAAAATACTTTGCTGCTTCTCACACTATTGTACTAATATGTTTTGCTTTGGCGATTTTAATACAACATTAGAAGGGACTATTTTTTGGATATAACCGCGTGAGCTGATGACAAAATTATATCTTTTGCTTATTTCATTTTTTCCCAATTTTCTTTTTAATTTAAAAAAAATTACATTTGTGAATATTTTTTAAAAACAATTTTTAATAATTTTTTTCTTTTCCTTAAACAAAAATCTTTACATCTTTTTCCGTGTTTTTTTTTACATATTTAACTTATTTTATAAGCTCTATGTATTTGCAGCTTATGCGCAATGAGAAAAAATCTATTATTATTTTTCTCAATTTTCTTTGTTAATCTCTGCTTTCCTTTACCCTTTTTGTCTTTATCTTATCTTTTGTCTTATATCGTGATTTAAAAAACGTATTTAACAATATAAATGCCTCTTTATATTTGTTAAACTTTTTTTAACTTTTTTGTTAAATTTTTTAAATATCAATGCTATTAATTATTCTAAATCAATGGTTTTAGCTAACTTAGTTTAAACAAAAATTGTCAATCATACCCATCTTATATCTTGATTTTAAAAACGCAGTTAACAAAATAAATGTATGCTTAAATTTTTTAAACTTTTTCAACTCTTTTGTAAGAATTTTTAAATATCAATGATTGTTTTTATTAAAATAAATACGAAAAGAAACGCTAGGCTAGATAAAATGTTAAAAAAATTAATAATAATTAGGAAAAAAATAAAAAAAATAATGAGAAGCATTTTCAAGGTGGTTAAAGAGACTGTCAATTGAACTAGTATAAAAAAAGTTTGCTCAGAAAAGAAAATAATATGAAGTGTTATTTATAATCATTTTCTTCAATCATATAATATAAAAGAATTGCTCTTCAAAATTCCTACAAAACAATTCTGCTACAAATAAAATTAAACGTAAACTATATATAATTACTAAGTTTTGAATTTCAGGTGTTTGATAGAATAGATTTGATTTAAGTCTGATTTTATTATAGAAAATAATATGTATTTTCAAACCCCAATTTATAAAAATATCGTAAATTTATATCATTGTAAGCTCAAATTCGAGCAAAAACTGGAAAAAGAATTCGGATTTATATTTCTCTAATATCATTTCGGTCTTTAATAATTTGGCATAATTTTTGTTTAAAATCTACATTTTTACAGAAGCATGGTTTAATTATGTCTCAATTAACAAGTTAAATAGTTTTATTGAGGCGTAATTAATTCGGCTTTCTGTAGAAATGCCTAAAATTAAGAAATTCACAAAAAATGAAAACTCAATTCAGCCCGAACAATTTTTAAATTTTAAAACTCAAAACTAGCGAATCTTAGGAATAAATACCATTGAATTTCATGACTAGTCAGTTGTGTCTGGAAATTTGTAACAAAAGAATTAAGGACTTAAAATACACCCATTAAATGTATGCAGACATAGAAGCCCTATGCAATTTATTTTTTAGAAATGCTCCTAACATCGTTGGAAATCAAGTTTTCTGCAATTGGTTTTATTATCTTGATTTAAAAAAATTGATTTCAGTTGAAAAAAACCCTAATCCTTCAAATTTTAATAATATTGTTTTAGTAATAATTGAACTTTGTATTCATTTAAATCCACGTGGATCAATTCTCAACGTGGGATGAATATTTGGAAGAGTTAAAAAGAACTTTGTATTAAAGAAGCAAACAAAACAGCGTTTGAGTTCACTAGGAATATATTTCCGCACATAAATGTGAGGGGGTTTCAAGGACTGCTTAAAAAAGCAAGTTTTTATTTCGGTACTATTTATCGTAACTAAAGAGGTGCCAAGACTATTTTCTGTCTTGTTTAAAAAGGTATCCCTTTTCTGACAGACATTCATACCTCACAAATGCCAAACATAGTGGGATTTTTTTTTGTGTATTTGAACATTAACTGTAGCGAGACATTTTAATATAAGGGGCTGGTAACTTTTTTGGTATCGTTTACAACCCATCTTTTGAGACAGGATTGGGATTTCTTTGGAAAGAAACCGATTTCCTCCAGACACTAGAAGTAATGAAAAAAAGCAATAAGGAGCTGAAAGAAATAGAAACCTACACAATTTTTTAACGATAAGTATTATAGTGAGTTTAAATTTGAAGAAATAAAATTTATGAGAAAGTTAAAAGTTTTCTACTGGATTTACTTTAACCTTACTCATCTCAATAAATATATCTAAATTTTGCGTACATATATTATTTTAAACTAACTGAATATTTTTCTTTAAGAGAAAATAATTATAATAATAAAAACATATTTACTTTTGAAATCTAAATTTAAAATGGTTATTTAGAAAAATTACTTAAGATTTTTTCAACTGGCAAAATTTCGATAAAATTTTTTTTTAGTATAAAAGCATTTTTTTGTAATTTTAGATACTAATTTTGTTTCATCTATTTTTAAGTAGTTATATTTAACAATAAAATAACAGAAACTTATTTGTATAATATATTTATAACACTAGAAAGATCCTAAGAAGAATATTATAAAGCTATCAAAACATGAAATAAGCATACTTCTACTTTAGTGAAAAGCATTTTGCACCTTTGAAAATTTGTAAGTTTTATTTTTTAGAAATAAATATCCCATTCACTTCAAAATGTTTATTTGTGAATAATTTTCAATTCAGAATATTTAAAAAAAAATGAGCTAATAAAGTTCAGAATATTGAAGCTTCGTGAAATTTTTTAACTTTTATGTAATGCTTCAATGAAATTAAATTTCAATAATTTTTGATAATTTAATGATTAGATTAATAAATGAAATTTTCCTAATTTTTGAATGGAAATTCGAAATAAAAAGGTTTTAGATTTTTTTTTAAAAATTATAATGAATCAAAAGTTTTATGATTAGGTACGTAAAAATAAAATTTGTACTAAAAATATCAATTTTGCAGCATGTTATATAAGATTTATTTTGAGTATTCATGTTTAACAGTATTTGATTACGAAAACTTGTATCCTATTCCAGGGCCCACGGAAAGGATTTCAAATTATTGGCCAGTAAATTGCCTAAGTATCAAAAGTATTCGAGAATTTTCGAAATATTTTTCTTTCCAGTGGAAAAAATCATTCTCCAAACCACAATTTTATTCGCCAAATTTACGATTCTATCGCATTTGACAAGGTGGCGAATGCTTAACGAAGGCCCTGTTTTTATAATTGTGAATAAAATATGCTGTTTGAAGTTGTTATTATGACTAATATGAAATTTATTCAATTAGGAAGGTTAATATGTTGTTGTGATGCAATGGAGATGAACTTTAAAATAATTTTGTGACAAAAAGTTTTGTTATCAGAAAATAAGTTTATATTTCCATGCAAAATATTTGCTTTTTTATTTTCATATTTAAATTTATCAGAGGGGACAAGTATGACATATAGGTTTATTTTAATTACATAAGAAATAGAAAAATAACATTCTTATTTTGTTAAAATAACTAAGGAAAAGAAACACTCTCAGTGAAAAAAACTGCTTTTGTGAGAATGACCCAAATATGATTTGGGATTATTTTCAATTTTATAGTTTACCTTTGAATCGATGCCTATAGGCTTTGAACATTCTTCGCAAGAATTGGCATATACTTGCTCATAGCACCTCACACAATATGGATGTTCTTCTTTCAGTACGTAACGGTGTCCCGTCAGAGATTCATCACATTTCCAACAACAGAAATGCGACTGATGCCAATCCTTCGACATTGCCTTCGTATATTCGTTCGAAAATATTAACTGGAAGAACAAAAAAGAATTAAGATACACAATTACTGAAATGAAATAAATTAGACAGAAATTCAGTTTTAAAGTAATACTGAAATTTTGAAGGATTCGTGATAATTTTTTTTATCCTTAAAACAATATGTATTTTAAAAACCATAGCGAGTAACATAAATATTTTTTTCAGAGAATACCATATTTCGATTCGGTTTCATAATTATTTTAGAGAAAAAAGGACTAGTTTGATTTGAAAATTTCTTATTCCTTTTTTAAACACTAATAACAGAAAGTGCTGAAAATTAATTTAAGTATTAACTCTTTTTTAAATTCAAAATATAATACTGAAGGCTTTTAGCAATATCAAAAACGCGAAAAACTAGTTTTTTATACCTTAATAAAAAGTAATATGTCAAAAAGAAATGTCGTAAAAATAAAAACGATTAAATGATTGAAGAATATACACGGTAAAAAATCCAGGTTAAATTACGACAAAAAGTAATGGCACCTTCAGTGCTACATCCGTAAAATCCATTGCACCGTAAAATCCATTTTTGCATAAAACTTTTATGCGTAATTTTTGCAGTAATATTTCTGTTATAATTAAGGTAAATAAAATTTTTGTTTCGTTACGTTTTACAGTAAAAATGGATTTTACGATAAAAAGCATTGGCACCCTAAGTGCCGTCACTTTTTACCGTAATTTGATACGGAATTTTCTACATTTTACATGCATTTTTAAAAGAAATTTGTCGGTTCACTTAATGAAATTCGATTTTATCGAATTCACGATTGATAAAAAGACTCTAAACAATTTAAAACATTAGTTGAAACATAAAATGCATATTGATTAATTTAATTTGAGGAAAACGGGTAAATAAAAATGTGTGACTATTGATTTTCAGGACTTTGAAAATATTTTGGATATTTTGTTCTCATTAAGTATTTTTTGAAGTACTATAATGTACTTTTGTAAATTATTAAATATTTAATTTATTGAACTATTTAAAAAATTGTATTTGGAATGTTCCTTTTTGCTCAAAATTTTTTAATCGTTTATAATTAAAGTTCTTCATAGTAGTTACAATGACTTCATTGTGAATAAATTTTCATTTACAATTTTCTACTTTTAGGGAAAACTATAAAATTATTTACTGTTCATTAAAGAGATTTCACGACTCTTAAAGCTGACAAAAGTAAGCGTAAACACAAATTAGTTCTACTTTAAAAAAAACACTTTTACTTAAAAAAAAAAAAAAAAAAAAAAAAAAAAAAAAAAAAAAAAAAAAACAGTTTTACTTTTAAAAAAAACAAGTACACTGTGAAAAATAACTACAAATTCTATAGAAGAAAAACATATTTTAACTGTTTAAAGAAAGATTTTTTCTGTTTCAAACCGTTATCTTAACACTGTAAAAAAATCTCCTTTCTTTCACAGACTCCCTCCGTATATTAGGCAGTTTAAAAAAAACGGTGACAACGGTTTTTTTTCTGTTTTTCATTCTAATCATAAATGCATTAAAAACGTCAGATCAAATTTTAGTTTTTTATGCATAGTTTTGCTTACCCTATGATAACTCTACCGTTTTTGAAATTATTTTACAATTATTTTCTTTAATTGCTCTTTTTAGCAATTATTTTATAGTGTATATTTTATAGTGTGTATTTTATAGTGTATCGCATATTAGTGAAACTGTGATTCAATTTTTTTGTTAAATTGATATCTAACTTGATTATTATATTTCTTTAGACATAATTTTGGTAAATTAATTTGCCAAACAGTTTAATACGGGTGGACAACTATTGTTTTAAACTTGAATAAATAAAACTTTCAAACTAAGATTTTTCTTCATACTGAGACCTGCAGGGATCGCACAACTCTCAACGTGGTGACCCAAGTTCAAATCCGAGCTCACATTGACCACAATGCTGACATAGTTATTTTATAGAGTTTTTTTGCTAAAATAACAGTACATATCTGCTTAAAAAAACAGGCATCTGTTTTTAAATGACATTTTCTGACAAATCACCCAAATGATGGTATACCAGCAGACAGTTTCTTTTTTCCGCAAATTTAAAAGATTCTTTTTACAGTGTAGAATTAACATAAAATAAACATTAAAAGCAATATTTGCTGTCGGAAAGTACCACATGATAAATACATATCTCATAATTATAAATATGTAAAGTAAGAAAAGTTTTGAAATTTTTAAAAACATAGCAGAATTTGATTAATAAAATTTCAATTATATAGGTCTTCACATAACATTCACATTTTTAAATACTCAACTGTAAATTATAAATCATATCTTTATTTTTGAAAGTAATACTTGATAAAAGTGCATAAAACCGAAAAATTTTAATTTTTAAAAGAAAAATCTCTTTGAATTTCTGAAAAAAAATTTTGGAGTTAAGAGTTATTTAAATATTTGATATATAAGTTTTAAAAAGTTATATATAGAGTTCTGTGAAAAATTTTATATCAATATGTCAAACAGATTTTGAGAAATCATTTCATAAAAGTCTTAAATTTCATAAATTTTCTTTTGAAGTTTTTGTAAATTGTAAGAAATATTGTTATTTGGCAACATTTTACATAGTATTGAATTATTCCTTGTAACATCTGTTTTCATTATTAAAAAGCTCAACTGCATGATTTTGTCCAGAAATGGTTGTGGTTTGAAAAAATTTCGTGTTTTTACGAGTGCTTTAATGGCCGTGAGATCTATTTAAAAATGTAAGAAAAAATTTAAAATTTTTGCCAAATCTACCACAATTTGCAAATATGGACTTTGTAGTTTTATTAGGATCAAAAATTTGAACCCCCAACTTTCTGCATCAATTCTATCAAAATATTTAATAAAAGAATATTTGCTGACATTTATTAACTCATTTATCTCATGTTAATTCCATGCAATATAGTACAACACAAATTATTACATAAACATTATTTTCTCTCTCTCTCTGTTATGAATTTCTACCAAACAAGGATAAAACACTTCTTGAATTGTTAATTTACATATTTTTAAACAATATTTTACATATTTACACAAATCATGTTTATAGTTACACATATGCACATTTATACTTATATCGTAATTTTATGAGCCAAAATTTAAATAAGTCTATTGATTTGCTTTTGAGAAATATCAATTAAAAACGGAAGCTATTAGTTTCGTTATGAATTGGGTGTAAAAAAAAAATTCTCCTTTTATAACTTTGTTTAACTACTTTCAAAATCATTACTCTATTAAATTTTAATTTTTAAATTTAGGTATGTATAAAATTTTATATTGCATAACAATTTTTTTTCTTGGAACTATTTTAAGCATTTTCGGCAAGCAACAGATTTAAAGTTTTATCATATAATGTGGGAATTCAGCTCTATTTTTAAGAAATATGTTCTTTAAAATGCATATTACATATTTGCCATAAATGGTCAAATGGGACCTATTTTGATCTCCTGGACTTGATATGGTTTACTAGGTAACTAATGTATAAGCAATATAAGTTTTTTCCAACTGATCTACAGTTTGCTTATTTTACCTCTGACAAAGGTGTTCCGAAATTGATTTTAGAATTAATTTTCAATATACTTTCAAAATCGATTTTTGATAAATGCTGTCTTGAAATAGCATCTGGTAGGCAAAGTAATCTCATTTATATAGACAATTTTGACTACTACGTAACGGAATTTTTTACTGAATGAGAAGTCAAAGGAAATATATATTTAAACACTATAAATCAAATCAGTAAGCCCAAATTATTTCCTTTTTTTCCAACTGATATAGTATACATATTTTTTTTCAGAAATTTAAAAATGGACAAAGAAATTTCAAGAGACGTTAGTTAACTGGATTAAAAATAAATGAGAGATTAGGTTATCCTTATGTTTCTGAGGATGTTGTAATTAACTCAGGCAACCTAATCAGACGTCAGCATTAAATTTGGAATTAAAATAAACTCTTAGAAAGCCAAGTTTATTGCTTTTTCATAAAAAAAAGGAAATCAAAAGTGTAAGAATTGAAGACTTACGCTTCTTTAGTAGTACTGAAACTAATATATAAATAATGCCATGTATGATATCAATAGAATTGATATTAAAATTGATTGAATTTCCTTTCGAAAAAGCAGCTTTATACTAACGGGAAATGTGCTTGAAAAGGAAAAGTTTCAAACAATATGTGTTTCTTGTAGTTTCTTCTGGAGCTAAGATTTGGGCTCTCATACAAAGACTTACACTGCTGTACAAAATTATGAAAATTTGCATATTTTGTTGAATTTTCTGAAAACAAGTGAGCAAAGTTTAAAACTATTGATTCGAACAAAGATGTAAATCTTTTGTGTCGAATGTTGTTAGTGTAAACGTGTGTGTGGGTGGAGCTAGTAGAGGAATAGATTTTATAATTGTATACATGGCAAAACCTACATTTAGTTTGCTCACACGTCTTGCAGCAATCTTAAACTGGCTCTTTCAATTTCACTTCAAGTAAGAAAAATGAACAACCCCCAACGTTAAGATGATGGTAAGAGGTGGAGAATTGTGGGGAAACTTGAAGCAGGCCAGTATCAAGTCTAGAACTTGTGGAGAATTTAATTTAATACCCAGCGTCGTGTATAATTTATACAAACAAATTTAGCAATCTATCGTGAGAAAACCTGGCTAAGTCGCCCAAGTGTCACAACGGTCAACGAAGATCGATATTTGTCGATTACAGCGAGGTGAAACAGGGATGCTACATTCTTTCTGCTCCCTCGTGACCTCTATGCGGACACAATAAGCCAAGTTTTAAGGGTTACTGTTCTTAGAAGGCTTTATGGGAGAGGGCTATTTCCAATCCACTGACTTCTGGCATTTAGTATGGCGCAGAGATCATAGAGATTGGAGCCTGGAACAATAGTCGAATGCTTTTTTCATTGATGAGTCCCGCTTCAGTCTGACAACTGACTCTCACCGTACTTTCATATGGAGAAAACCAGGGACTCGCTATCTACTGATTTCATTTTTATACTTGACA